TTCTCGTTTAACTTACATATAAAATCTTAAAAACAACATTTTCGAAACAAATGTTAAAACCTGGTATACGTTAAGAGAAGCAATGACTGAAACTATCAATTCAAAATTGTAATCAGCCGAAAGGAAATATTAATGAATAAAAGGTAAATATGAAAAATACATGTGTTTGTATAAATTAATTTTGTAAAAATGTATTTTTTTTCATATAGTAGTTCAACATAAACGAATGCTGCATACTACTTACTGTAAAAGAACGTAGAATGCATTGGCTATGAACATGATATCAAAATTCAACAAGACAAATTTTTTAATGCCAAACCTTTGTTTTTAAATTTTTGGATAAGATGGCATTAATACGGAAGAAAGTTGATTACGATTTCGTATTGGAAGAAAATTTGTACGAAAGACAGAAAGTTTATACCAAACAATATTCACATATTACTTTCCCCAAAAAATTTAACAAGCCAATTGAATTCTCACACTAGTTTGTAAAAAAGAATATTTTGAACACTTTCAACGGAAATTTTTTCACAGTTTTATAACACGATCGAATCGGGAACGAATTCGTTTTATTTACTTTTATTTCTTCAATAAGAATTTATAATTTTTGTTTTTAAGAGTTTACTGGAATTTCTTCTTGAAACATTCGAAAGTAGGAAATGTTACAGCTACCTTCGAGACTTATTTTTATTACTTATTTATTTTAAAACGTTGCCAAACAGTGATAAGGCTTCTAATCTTACAATAAATTGAATTCGTAAGAAGAGATAACTGGCATAAATGGTTTTTATTTCTTACTATTGATCTTTGATCTCTGAGTATTTTAGTCTTTACCTAGAATTTCAAAGGACTTCAAGAAGTATTTATAAGATAATGTTGAATGAAAGTATTGCTTTCATACTGATAAACGTTCATGCCACACCTTTATTTTTAAATCAGATCGCATGGTAACAAGAAAAGAGTTTTTAAATATAAATAACGGTAGAAATAGTGTTAGTTTTATATATTAACGTAGAACAACAGTAGTAACATTTTAATGTTATATAATAACAGAATGACACAGACGTAATCCTAGAATAAAAATTACAGCTAAACCTTGAACAGTACAAGAGTTACGAATGCCACTCTCCCGCGCTGTCACAAATCTACGAATAAATTTGACATTCAGAATCAGAAGGGAAGCTTTGCCGCTAACATAACTATCGAATAATATGTGTGCATTATTGCAACAATAACGAAATACCCTACCCTAAATTGGAAATGCAACACCACGAAGGAGTGGCCAGAAAATGATGAAACTCCGCAAACAGACAGAGACAGCAACGAACAATACGTGATTTTAATTTCGAAATGATAAGCATAATACAGAACGAGAACAGCGTCTGCTCAGTAGGCCGTAGGACCAACTTGGATGGCGATACACAAAGCAGGACGTCTAGGTACAGACTACATATGGGTGTCCTGAGGAATGGCTCTCCATTCCCTGTCAACCATTTGCCACAGTTCGTCTTTGAATGCGGCAATGGTAGGGTCTGCAAATGACGTCCAATCACATCCCAAAAGTGTTCGATCGGTGAGAAATCAGGAGAGAACGCTGGCCAGGGAAGCATCTGCACACTTTGCAGAGCATGCTGCCTCAAGAGAGCAGTGTGTGGTCGGGCGTAATCCTGCTGATAAAGGGCACAGGGTAAGGGAGTGTCACCTTGAAGGTAAGGAAGTGTCACCGGCCGCAGCACATCATCGTTGGGCCGTCATAGTGCTCTGGATACGAAATACAGGTGACCTGGAATCGTATGCAATTGCATCCCAAACCATGATGCCGCATGTCGCACGGTGGAGTGTTCCACAATTGCTGCCGGATTGGATCTGTCTCCACATCGACATCACATTCGTAGGCAGCGAGTATCATTGGAGAAACAGAAACGCGACTCATTTGAGAACACGACCCTGTGCCATTCCGTCGTCCATATCGCTCGAGCACGGCACCATCTAATGGTGTGGGATCAATGGCACATGAATTTTCAGTCTGCCATTAACATCATCATGTTACATAATGTGAAACCCTGTAAATGTTATAACGATGGAAAGCAGACGTCTGGACTAGCATTTATAAAATTAAAACATAAATTAATTTTAAACGTAGAAGATTTTTTGGTATCCTACTTGATGACATATATTCTTTTATAAATAATGTGCAGATAGAGTATTCCAAAGATGAATAATCCAATCCAATCCAATCCATCGTTATTTTTCGCATGGCGCAGCTGTGCAGTCCATAAAATGCACTCTATATTTCGCTTGCTGTCCTTCTTTTATTTGCTTTTCCTACATTTTTCATAACTGATGAAAAACTGCTTTGATTTTTAAACAAAAATTTGTAAAAATAAATTGAGAAGACACAGGGCGTAACTAGGTTAAATTATCTTAATTTGATTGTGAAAAGACATTGATTTTATGACTCGCAGTTTTTCAGGCTCTATGCAGATTTTATTAATAAAGAGAAGAATGTGCATGAAAAAACCTATTTTTCATATTGAAATATGAGATATTGTTAGCTTAACTATCATAAGCACTGGAGATCCATGTAATTCTTAGTCGGTCCCTGGAACCACAAAAATTGTGTTTTTAGGGATACATATGTGTGCATTTTACGATAAGCAATGCCTAATAAAATAGATTAATATTTCATGCCTTTTACTCATTCATGACACACCTAGCATACGCATACTTAATCTTTTCAGAGCCCACTGCGGCTGAGCGGTCAAGTCGCTGAACACTGGTAGTTCGGTCGGAGGTTCGAATCCGGCGAACGGGCTGGCTGCATGGGCGTTTTCGTGGCCTTCCTCATGTGTAACGTGTATACGAGCCAGTTTCCCTTAGAAAGTCCTCCACGAAGGCATCTCTCCCCTTTGGCAGAGAGCCCTAGTTTTCTATGCCATAATTAAATAAATCAAACCAAATTTAATCTTTTCAATACATCCTAGCAACGCATTCTAAGCATTTTTTTTTCTTTTTTTTTTCAGTACTTCCAATATTCTATTAGTCAGACCGCTACAAATATACGCAAAATTTTCCAGTGTAAAGATTTAAAAAGAGAGAGAGAAAAAAAAAAAAAAAAAGACATATAAATCGAGCTGCGCAATTCAAAGCCGCATTGCTCAACAACTGCATACGAGGCATGGATTTTTATAGATCTACTAGGATTCATTTGCAAACGAATACCTTATAAAATAGCTTCTCTAAAAATTAAGAGTGCTTTCAAAAGCTAAACTCTCCAAACCGTTTTCCATAGTTATAACTAAAAATACTTTAAAAAATTTTTTTATTAATTATATGGTTTTAGTAAACGTTATAAAAAGGTGAAAGTGTAAAGCATTTTTTTAAAGGTACCATAATATTTTTAGGCAAGTAGAACTAAAAACAAAATCGTGGGTCTTTTCACAATAGCTGATTTTTAACGCAAAATTATCAAAGAAACAGTGGCGTAACTAGAGTTTCCAGCGCCCGGGGACAACTGAAGAATTTGCGCACCTTTCTGTGTGCCAAAAATGGAAAACATTTCATAAAAAAAAATTCGTAGCATCAATTTGTCGCCCCTTGGACAGATGTCCCCTCTTGCCCCACCCTAGCTACGCCACTGCAAAGAAAGGTTTACGTGAGCAATCTTATATGTGTCATTACCTCATTTTACAATCTTTAAATATATAAAGTATTTATAAGCTTGCTAATCTTTACGTATAACCTTGGTATTTAATATAAAAGCTCTTGATAAAAATTATTTAGAGATTATATTTAGCTTACTTATTATCTCTATGCTATCACTTCTGTTGTGCATCAAGATTCTGTTAATTTCTTAAAAAATTTCGTGTTTTAAAGTCCCAGTCATTTTATTTGTAGTAACACATAGTCAAGATGATTATAGCTGACGATAGCGTTATTTTTATACTTTTTAATGCATTTAAATAAAATCGTGAAATTTAAAAAGTTTTTTTACATATTTTATTTTATAATTAATAGTTAATTCCAAAAAGTAATAAAGAAAGGAAATCCGACGGTAGGAAAATTATTTACTCTAATCTGCTGTTCGAATATTCATTTTAATTTGTATTTGACTTTTAGTAACCCAATTTCAGTATCGCTTAAAATCATCGGCCTTCTAGTAATGAATAACTTATATCTTTTGATGTAAGAACCCATTATTGTTAACAACTGCATAACAGTTAAAATAAAAAAAGCGAAAGTTCTTTTTAAAAAAACTACAAAACTTTGACAAATTATATTACAAATTCCAAAAAATCTTCAATTTTAAAACTATTTTTCAGTCTATTCCATGGGCAAAAGTTTAAAATTCGGCAATAACGCCTTTGATCCTTTAATAAGGATTTCTTTGACAAATTCAACATCACATGAAGCAAATATCCAAATTTCGAAATACGTTTCTGCAGAATATTGTAATTGCAAAACGTACGTTTGAACAATGTCATGAAAATTATCTCGGTAGAAAAAGGTCAAAAATTATTTTCAAGATTCGACTCGATAAAGGGAAGAAAAAGACAAAGAGAGAAAACAAATTAAATAAAAACTGTGTAAATAAATAACTAAATAAATCTTTCTGGTTAAATAATTTTAAAATATATTTTTAAAACAAGTTAAATATCATTGTTTAAAGTGTTGCAAAAAAAGTGCATTTCATATATCATTTACACAACCCTAAACAAACGAAACTGCAAAATCCTAGATTTAGGAAATGTTTGGCTTGGGTTAAAAACATAACTTTTCCGCAACAATTCTTTTATATGCATTTCTCTTTTTAGAATATTGTGAGACATCAAAAAACGGCCTAAAAAAATCCATGGAAAATGCAAGTGGCAATAATGCAGATTCGTGGTTTCCCCGCGGTACCGACGATGATTAAGTAAAATCTCTTGTCATATCAGTCACCGTGTTACGATTTAAAACATAACTACTTAATTAAGGAAAGTGTCAAACATTTCACTTACGTTTTTCTTAATAAATCTATGCCTTCTTTCGGAACGTCAGGCCTAGTGACGAAAACCTTGGGTCGGCTCATATCAGCAACTTAATGAATGCAGCCTTCAACTTTGCAAAAGATAGTCAATTGTTACTCAAGACCATTTGGCGGTCAACGAAGTTATGCGCACGTCTGCGCGATAGCAGTTATGTCTGTTGAAGATGAGGGAAAAAATAACAAATAAAGCAAATCAGAAGGAGCATTTCCGCAAAAGAATAGGGATACTTTTTTCCCTTCAAGGGAATATTAGGGATTTTCTTACGCAATTTTCGCGCCAGCTTACCCTCATAGGACCGCAAATGATGACGAAATTTTCATGGTTCTAACGGAACCAAGTGCATGACGAAAAAATCAATATTCCTGCGTAATTTGTGAAATGTAGTTTGTGAAAATGGCGTAATACTTGTAAATTCATTGAAAGCAATCATTAGAATGGTAATAACACTTCAGCCCAAATCGCATTAAAAAAGTAAAAAAAAAAAAAAAAAGAAGAAGAAGAAGAAAAGGTCATATCTATTGTGTCTGGAAAATTTCCCCTCCTGACTGCTATACGGTTTCTTTATTTCGTTTTGACCCACTTGGGAAAAGGTTCACTATAAGGCAAATGACTGTATCGGGTTTTACCTGGCGTACGTGAGGGTTCGCATGTCTCTTCGTCTATGCCTAATGCAGCTATACCGACGTGATAGTCGTAATTTATGTATTCTGACAGTAATACTGAAATTTTCTGATTAAAGCAAAACGCATTACTGAATTTAAATGAGTAAAAATGTAAAAATATATTTATTTAGAATATCGATTTTGATCCTTTTTTCATACATGCTAATGAATTTAATGTTGTTCAAAAACAAAGAAAAATACCAATTTATATCAATTTTAGCAATATATCATTTATCATATAATTTACATGTACAATAATTTATGAACAACAATAAACTATGTGGAAATTTTTTTTTAATTATACGGTTTTAGACAAATTTATTAAAATGTAAAAAATAATTTTTTTAACTTATCTAATATTTTTGATCACATGTGACTAAAAATTAAAACCACGTGGCTGAAAATAATGGTTGACTTCAAACCAAAACTGTTAAAACCGAAAATTAAGAGAACTGACTGTAATCATTCTCATGTATGACATTTTTATACAATAAATTCTATTGTCCTTTGAAATTTTAGTAACATCCTCATAAAATTCATACATGGGAGCCCCACAATTTCACATTAAGTCACAGAAAACCGAGAATATTTTGATAGCTAAAATACTGTATTTCTTTTTTTTTTTTTTTTTCTTTTTTCTTTTTTTTTTTTTTTTTTTACTCTCCAGAGCGCATTTGATTAAGACTGAAATTTGAAAACGTTTTCTTTATATTTTGTTTTATACATTTTAGTCTGAAGAATGACGAAAACTAACAAAGATGGAAAATCATTGCCTCTGAACATAATAAAATTATTCCTTCTAATACATCTGAAATTTATCTTCAATTCATTTCAGTTTTTAATAGATTTAAGTTTCCAGGTGATCACTTAAGAGCCCACTAGCGGCCGAGCGGTAAAGTCGCTGAACACTGGTAGTTCAGTCCGAAGTTCGAATCTTACGAACGGGCTGCTTGCATGGGCGTTTCCGTGGTTTTCCCGATGTGTAACGTGTATACGAACCAGTTTTCCTGAGAAATTCCTCCACGAAGCATCCCTCCCCTTTGAGGGCAGATAGCACTCGAAACTTTGCTGTAATTACATAAACCAAATAAACTAAACTTCATCACTTAAAATCTCGGAGCACAAAAGATAAATGATTAAACTATTGATTATAAAAACCCGTTGCTATTGACAACTGCATCATAGTTTAAAAGATCGGACAAGTTTTAAATTCCGGGAGATTTTGGCAAATTACCTCAGAAATTCCGAAAAACATTAAGATTTGAGCGACGCTTTCTCTTTCTATCAGACGATGCAAAACTAAAATTTCTGCGTTGATTAAGTTGAATGTTGAAAGAGGATTTATGAGAAATATTCAACCCTAATAAGAAAATATTCATATGAAGATTTGAAAATATCCCTGTGTAATATCGTATTGTTATTTCAAACATGCTTGTGCAAAAAAAATTCAAGATAACAGGATCGTAAAAAGGGGATCATAAGTAAATTTTAAAAGTTAACCCGCACTAAAAAAAGGAACTAAGTTATATAAAAGTTCAGAAAAGATAGATTTGAAAGACTATTTCTAGCTTAAGTCCGATGGTATAGAGATGAAAATTCGGTGATAATTAGACTTAAATAAACTCTAAATGAAAAAATCTGATCTGGATACCACATGACTTTCTTGTACGGCCTATTAAACTATGCACATTTTTTTTGCTGCATTTCATTTAAAGTTATTTTCTCAAATTTCATTAGAGATATATTCCTCATTCAATCAACGTCGCGGCAAGAAAATGTACATAAAATCTCAAAGCATCTTCATTAAAAACTGTAAAATACAAAAAAACCTAAAAAACAAATAGAGTTAAAAATCGCTAAAAACAAATGTACAATTAAAATCAGGCAGAAAGACAAATTTTTCGGTGCACAAAATTTTTGGCCCCACTCGGCAAAAAGACCTTGAAGTTGGTGTAGAAACTGAATTTACTATGCTACTATGTTTCAAATATACGAGCAACAATACGTAAACAAATGGCGGCGTCTTTAGGCTTAGTGAACTTAACTGTTAAATTCTTGATAATTCTATAATTGTTGCATGCAGATTAACTAAAGGCATAAAAGCCTTAACCTGAACATAAGAACAATATAATTCAATCACTTTAAAAGCAAAAAATACACAGTTTACCAAACAAATAAGAATAAAAAATCTTAGCTCACCGAACCGGTTTAGAGAGTGAAATATATATCTACAATGCGGAAAAAAAAAAGGGGGGAGAGGGACAGTTTTATACCTCCCGTTCTACAGGGCCGATTGACGAAATTCAAATTGCGTTCTTCATGTCTCGAAAACGCGACTTAGGATATATATTAGATTTATATATAGCATTATTCTAACATAGATATTTTGACACAAAATCGGACTTTTTTGGAATAACATACCAATTATTTTATGTATTTCGATTCTACGACTCAAATTATGCTTAGATATTAAATTTTGTAAAATTTGGTGCGAAATTTACGGAGAAATTCAACAATTTATGTTGGCACTTTTTTTTTTTTTTTTTTTTCCAGTTTGCGCCAAAAAAATTCCCTTGGCCAACTTCTTAATATGTGGCAACCTATTTTCACTTCAATTTTTACATCGTGCGTAAGCGGAAATAAAGTTGCAATCGTTCCTTCTTTGAAATAATGTTCTTTATATTATATTTTTAATTATAATTGTTATTATTTTAGGTAATTTTTTCTTTTTCGAATTTCATTTTACTTGTTTAAGTTGCATGGTTTCTTTCGAATAACTGTTTTAAAAATTTCTATTTACCCATTCGAACTGCGTAGTTTAAATATAAGGCGCATCGTTTATTTTTTTCAAATAGTTTTCTTTATAATTTTTTTGTCATAGTTATTATTTTAGGTAATTTTTAGACTTTTATTTTAATTGTTTGTGTTGCATTGTCTCTTCAAATTTACTATTTTTTCATTCGAAATGAGCATTTAAAATATATTTATTAATATAAATTTTCCAGGATTTTATTTTATTTATTTGAATTGGGTTCTTTCGGAAGAATACATTGTGTCCCAGACTACGATGCATCTGAAAACTGAATATATTAAAATGAAATTCGAAAAAGGAAAAAAAAAATTTTAAATAACAAAAAAATATGGTACTTTTCGGTTCCGAGGGCCGTAAAAAATTGCAGCGAAAGTGTACGCGCAAAAGCGCCAAATCTAGCAAACGTGCCCATTTAACAGCGCGCCAAATCTAGCGTACGAGCTGATTTCAGATTGCGTAAGTTATATAGTTGATTTATATAGTTCTATATTTCTTAAGACGCCGTTGAAATACTAGTTTAATTTTTAAATCCTTTTTTGACTTTAAATCCTTTTTTGATATCCTATGGATTAAAAATTTGGGAATTGCCCATAACGAAAACTCGGCAATAGATTTTTGGGTAAAGTGCAGAATCACCCACTGCTTGACGCGTTTTTAAGAATTGCACATACTCGGTATCCATGTGCACATCGACCCATTTTCACTTAAAAAAAAATCCCAGAATTGCACAAAAATGGCACTGCGCACACCCTTGACTTTATCTATGTACACATCGACTTATTTTCACTTAAAAAGTAAAAGAAAATGGACAAAAATACAATTGTTTTTACCCTTGTAAAAAGCGGCAAACAACTAAGTGAGCGATTTTGCACTTTACCGAGAATGTTTTCAAAGAAAAGGCATCATTCATTATAGAAAATTACGTTTGAACAACCAACGAGATGAAATTATGCTTTAGCGATAAGTCGGTAACGAAATAGCGATGCAGGCATCCATTCAGTTATGTTTAGCAAGTTTTATATAAATTATAATAATGATTGAAATAGTTATTTACTCTTATCCTTCCATTCAGTCATGCTTAGCCTTTTTCATATAAATTATAATAATAATAAATTATTATATGAAATAACCTTTCATCTAAATTAAAACATCAATCTTAGTTATTTACTATTATACTTCCTTTCTTGCCGCAATTATTAGAGCTAACGCAATTATTTTTGGCAGCATTGGCATCAACAATAGTTTGGCGATTTTTTACGGCCCTCGAAACCGAATAGTACCAAAAATATAATATAAAGAACATTATTTGAAAGAAAGAACGTTGGGATTTTTTTTTCTCTCACTGACAAGGAAAATAGGTTGCCATATATTAAGAAGTTCGCCAAGTGAACTATTTTTGGCGCAACCTGAAAAAAAGCGCCAACATAAATTTGTGAATTTCTTCGCTAATTTCGCACCAAATTTTACAAAATTCATATTTTGGCATAATTTGAGTCGTAGAATAGAAATATGGAAAAAAATTATATGTTATTTTAGAAAAAGTCCGATTTTGTGTCAAAATAACTATGTTAGAATAGAGCTATATATAAATCTAATATATATATAAGTCGCGCTTTCGAGACATGAAAAACGCAATTTGAATTTCGTCAATCGGCCCAGTAGAACGAGAGATATAGAACTGTCCCATCCCCCCC